TACTATCCCTTGGTTGTTTACAAAAGAAACAGTTCAGAGAAAAACCAAATTAAGAGAAACCAATTAAGAGAAAAACCAAATAGAAAGTAATAGAGATAGTGCCATCTAAAAAAAAATATTTAGTGTTTTAAAAAAGAATACATTATCCCTACACTAAAGAATATATTATTCCCTTACTTGTTCACAATAAAAAGAGAGAGAGAGACTAATACTCGGAATTTAATAAAGAGGAAAACCAATATAGCAAATGATACAGATACTGTCATCTGGTTATATAGACAGCGATTTAAGTATTTTAAAAAACGATTTAAGTGTTTTAAAAACGAATTCATTTTCCCTTGCTTGTTTACGAAAGAAAAAGATTAATGTCAGGATTCCAATTAAGAAGAAAACCAATAATGGCGAAAATAAAAGACACTACCATCTTGTCATAGAGATGGCCAATTAAGTATTATAAAGAAGTTTCGATATCGATTTAAACATCTTGAAGGATTCATTATCCAGGGCTCTTTACAAAAGAAAATTATAACTATTAGGAATTTAATAATGAGGAATACCAATAATAACAAATACTAGGTACTGCCATCTTACTATAGATAGTGATTTAAGTACCTTAAGAAATTTCAATAACGATTGAAGGGATTAAAAACGAATTCATAATCCCTTGTTTACAAAGGAAAGAGATGAGTGTTAAACATCTAATAAAAGGAAAACCAATAATAGCAAAAATTAGAAATGCTACCTTCTTACTTTAGAGGGTGATTTAACACGTTGAATGCCACGCTAATTTTACATGGCTTGCTCGTCTGGCCACAAGATAAATAACTACAAACTAAATTTGCAAATATCGACAGATTTTACTAGTTTATAAAAGATTTAGCATGACATATCTGGGAAAAGTGGTGAATTATATATGCCTACGAATTGTTTAAAAATAGTGGTGGATAAAAATCTACTAAATTGAATTTATTAAAGCAAGAATCACAATAATTAAGTACATTTTGAATAAATTTTCAGCAATTCCATAAAAGAGTGTAAATTTTATAGTTCTATATCATATTATACACTGCCAGCCAGCTGTTTTTCGCGGCCTATGTGAAAGGTCAGTGACAGCAAGCAGTGGCAGACGCAGCCGAAATGTAATTTCAGTGTCAGCCACCGGTGGTTGACGCGGCCTAAATGTAATTTCAGTGTCAGCCACCGGTTGTGGACGTGGCCTAAATGTAATTTCAGTGTCAGCCACCGGTGGTTGACGGTGCCTAAATGGAAAAAATCCAGTGTCAGCCACTGATGGCTGACGCGGCGCTCAACGTGTTAATTATTTATTTAAAAAAATCATTGTTTGCTTGTTTAAGAAAAGAAAAAAAGCTAACTGTAGGGAATTTTTGCAATATTGTTCAAAATACTAATAAAATGGCTTAAAATTTTCGATATCATAATCAAAAAGCTAGTTTGATATGAATATTTTTCTCACTTTGTTTTTAATTTTAATCGATTTTTTTTCTTGCCCATTATATTTATAAGAAAATTGTATTATGGCTATCCAAAAAGTCAGATAAACCGCAATTTAAATCATTTTCACAAATTGCCTATTTAAACTAAACTAAGCTTTATTCTCCAGAAAGATAAGAACAGTTTGTGATATCATATCGTGACTTGCACTTTTGCCCATTGATTCAGTTCTTTACCAAGACTTATCACCAAATTGTTTTAATGTTATTATCTTACTAGAAATAACCATTGAACTTAACAGAAAATAGAAATTAATATTTTAAGTGAAAAGTAAACTATTGCAGACTTGGTGTTAAAAAGTAGTTACATTATAAAAAGAATTGGCAATAATTTAAATGCCTCTTTTCCAACTATGAATAATCTAGAACAAATAAATAATTTAGATTCACCTTAAAATATATCATAAGTTGCATCTGATTTTTTAAAACTTTATTTAAATGATTAAAGCCTTATTTATATGTTTCCGTCAAATTATTAATTTAATCTACTGTTTTATTTAACGTTACTAACCTTTTTCTTTCTAGCAAAACTAGACAGACGGGCCTAAGTGGGTCTGTAGGGTTGTAAGATTGGGCAGTATGTGCGCGGGATCGCATGAACGGCTTCTGGGTGGCGGCTGGTAGTTTCCGTGTCCGTTGGGCCTTGGTCCTTCGGGCCTCTAAAGTGTGAGGGATGATTTCGTTACGCAGTGGCCGCGAAAAGCCGCAAACACGCTTTCGGCTGGTCACCTGCGATGACCAAACCATATTTCGAATCATACAATGAAACAAATACAGAATCAATAATCTTTAAAGATAACAATAATGCCATTATTGCTATATTAATATAATTATAAAGTCAATTTCTTCCATTAATATAAATTTTAAAAAAAACGAAAACAAATTTACAATTTTACCTTTTTATACATAACTTAATATTCCGTAGGTGAACTTTAGATTTTAAATACAGTTCAAAATGAGAGAAATTTACATAAATTAAAAAAATGACTTTGAAAAAAAAGAAGAGACTCAAAATGCTTATTCAAGAAAATGGACATAGCCTGAAATGAGCGTTTGCGAAAACGCGCATAGCTCAAAAAATAGCTTTTCCCAGGAAAACAATGTCAAATTTTTTTTATTTAATTTTGCTATCACCTAAAAAATTCCCAGACTAATATATATATATTAATACATTCGTTTAAAGTTTAAATTGTTTATAGATCGCAGTGATCGAATTATTGTAAGTCAAATGTATAACATTAAAAATAATACAGCAAAGCGTAAAATTTTTTACCACTTTAAATATTCAAGGAAAAACTTGCTAAAATGAGAGAGAAGTCAGCATTTACATAATAATTAGGTTTTAGCCTTAATTATAAAGTTATTCACTTAAAATTGTATTTTTTGATAAATATTAGTTCTATTGTGATTCTTCTTCCTTTTTTTTATAAGTAAAAGAAAATTAAATAATTATTTTAATAATGTGTGCAGAATAGCCCCATTAAACGGGGGCCCCACCAAGCAAAACCGGCAACAGCATTTTTTGGAATTTCATTAAGTCCACCTGAAACCTTCACAAACAATATCTGATAAGCCTCAGCATATCATTTTGAATGTCAATCTCGAACCATAATTTTTTTACACTAAAAAGTTGTCGTTTTTCTCATTATTATTTCCGATGGCCAAAGTAACAGAAAGATCTCCACACCACAAAAGGGGAGGAACAAATGAGAACATAAAGAAGAAGGAAAACACATAACAGGCGTTTCGAGAAAAAATCTATGAACTCAATAAGTCCCTTGCGCACCATTAACGGTCGCACAAAGATATGTCCTTCAGTGCCGGGCAACGGCGAAAGTGGTCTACATCCAACTCTTCTTGAAGGTCACAGAGCGTGCACAAAGGGGCCTGTGCAAAATGAATTCGATAAAGATGTTTAAGGAGGCAATCGTGTTCAGTGGCTAGTCGAAACTCAGTGACTGCTTTGCATCTTGGTCGCATATCTTGGAGATCATTCCACCCTATCTTACCGGAATTTCTCTCTGTGATTGGTTTAAAGTGAGATATTTACTCTTTTTCTTGATTAGGAGCTCAGCAATAGCAAGAGGGACAGCTATTATTGATGTTTGTTGATACTAAAAAGCCATTGGTTAGAAAAATAATATCTTTTGTAGTAGTTAAGTGAAAGCGTCCAGTGATGCCCACCCTTAATATATAATTTAAGAATCCTTATCAAACTTCAAGTCAAATTTGCTTACATGTGAGGGTTTTCAACAAAAACGCTTTAGAAATCTAGAGAAATGTAAATAAAAAAGGTAGGATTTAGAACCCAACCTAGAAGACAAAAGAGCTTCTAGATTAAGCACTGGACAAACTAGCTTTCAAGGAGAACTTTCTGATGGAACTAACCCTCCTTTACGTTGCATAGAGGAAAATCACGAAAACCTCACATAGTTAGCCAGACGGCAAGGGATTCTAACCCATGTTCTATCGCTGATAATTTTACGTCAGCACTGAAGTAGTAGAATTTGTATCAACCAGCCACCACTGGAATTCAAACCTGGGTCATCTGATCTGGTAGCGAGGGCTCGATCCCCTAGGCCACTGCAGCTCCCTGCTGAAACTTAAGAGGCATGTCTATTAATCACCTTAAAAATAATCTCTATTACTGCCAGCAATCAAACTGATTTTAATGTCTTCTGTACTTTCTTGCACCTTCTTTACTAATGATTCATTAGATTTTGAAAGCATTTTTCCCCTTGCTAAAACATAAATTTAAGATCCCTAATATGCATACTTCTTAAATTTAATTTTTGACAAATATTCTAAAATAATGACATACTAAATTAAATCATTAAGAAACTTGTTATAACTCAGAAATTAGCTGTTTTGTAAAAATTATGATTATTCTAAAACTATGCCATGTAGTCCCATATTTTTTATGTTATTTTAAGGCTTTAAAAGAAATAAAGAACCTAATCGAACTAATAAATTTAAAGTCAACATTGTATACATCAAAAAAAAAATTTAAAATTTAAATGTGTTTTATTATGAAAAGAAAAGTAATTTATTCGTCTAAAAGAACTAGATGTTTGATGAAAAATAAAACACAAAAAATATATAAAATGAAAATTATTGATTTTAACTGTACTGCTTTGAGTGTTTGCTTTTCCTAAAATAATTATATTCTATTTATAATTTTGATATTTCTTAGAAATTTGATAGGTTGATAAAAAAATAAAAAACCTTACATGTAAGTTTTTTAAATGAAAAATACATGTTTTATAATTTTTTACGTAATGAATATTTTATATAAATCTTTTATTGTTTGTCCCAATAACAGATTTTAAAAATTCATTTAACTTCATATATACTTCATTTACTTTTATTTAAAAGAAAACAAGAAATTTCCTTAAAATAACAACAACATAAATAAAAATTCCCCTTATTTTTAATAAAACAAAAACATATAAAAATTTATTTAATTATAACTAATAATGATACGATTGATTTTACATAATAAAATTTACTTTATTGATTATTACTGTCATAATTGTTTCAACCGTTCACAAATATCTGACCCTTTTTCTTTAGTATTTTCAATCTTTGCAATCCTTGATCCGAATTGTATGGCACGCTTTGGCAAAACTGCAGCTTCTAACAGGCCTATTTTAAAAGCCAAGAGACGAAGAAGCAATTTTTCTCCCAATCCTCGAGGTAAATTTAAGTCCATCTGAAATGATATAACGCAATTTGTTATTAAATTTAAGTATTTGAATTTGGATTCATGAGTTTAGAATTATTAAAATAACACACAAACCTTTAACCAAACAGGCAAATCATTCAAGTAGGAAACCACATTCTCATCTAGAAAAGGATACCGAGACTCCACACCATTATCGGAAATAATTCTGGAGAAAAAAAAAATTTTTTTAAAGAGCTTAAAAGTGAATTATTTAAAAAAAATATGAGATATGTGTAGATTAAAAGAAAAAGATTAAAAATAAAGAAGAAAAAATTTTTAAAATCAAATTTAAAAGATGAAAACTGAAAATAATAAATCTGATTTTGCTACAAACACATGTAATGTCATGTAAATTTACATACTTTACATATTAGATTCTCAACATGGGCATTGCAATGGGCAAATACAGAAAAAAAGCTAAGTACATTTCAGGATTAAGTTCATTTTATATCAAAAAACTTATACATATAAAACCCAGCATAAATTATCTGCTATTAAAGCAGTTATTAATTCAGCAATTTATAGAGGAAAAAAAGCTAACCAATTTCATAATGAAATCAATCCTTAGCTTGCTGCACTACACAAAAAATTTTCACACTATTAAGTTTAAGGTTTCATCATGAGCATAACGTTACAATGAGTGGGTGATTTTTAAAATAGTTTGTTTAAAAGTTTTTTCATTTTCTAGTAAGAAATTCACAGCAAATAATTCCTACTTACTTAAGGATTCCTTTCATAAAAAATTAGCTAAAAAAACAATTATATAATTGGTCAGTAGGAATTTTTAATAAATTAACACTAATGATTATTAGTGTACCATATGGAAAATAAAGAATGTAAAAAAAGTTTTTTTTTAACTTTTTAATAAACTTTTGCTAAAAAAAAAAAATTTAAAGGAGCCTTGAAAAATTTGTTTTGCAAAGTGAGCAGTGAGCCAATAAAGGTTGGCAACCTATTTTCTGCACAATAACAAAATTTTTTAATTGTAATGATAAAGTGTCTGAGAGCAATGAAAAATGCAAAGTGCTCCCACATGAAAATTAAAGACTCCACAATGTGGAGACCATATGGTGCTCTGAACCTAATTTATTTCCAAAATAAGCTGTCACCCATTAAACTTAAGTTGGGAGTATTTTAAGTAGCCATTGGAGCTACGACAGCTCTTCACAATAATAGTTCAGTGTCCAAATCATCGTGTGATGATAGCTTGAGTGTAATGATAATGTGTACTTTTCTCAGCAATTTCTTTGTTTCTGTACCTTAGTATTTTTTCCCTTTCATTTTTAAATTCGATATTCCTTATCACTTACATCAAAATAACCATTTTACATCGGAATTTGGTTAAAATATGTCCAGTATCATATTATTTCTTAATTAGAGTGTAACAATAATGCGTACTTTCCACAGCAATTTCTTTGTTTCTGTAACTTCATATTTTTTCCCTTTTATTTTTAAATTTGATATTCCTTATAACTTATATCAAAATAACATTTTGCATTTGACTTTGGTTAAAAATACGTTCAGTATCATATTATTTCTCAATTAGAGGCTTTAATCTAGCATAATATTTATTATCTAAACTAACAATGAAATAATTTATATCTGTACATTTTGGTAATTATATAAGTAACTGCAATCAGCAAAAGTAATAACGCAATAGAGCATCATATCCTCCTAAAGAAGTTGAATTTAATTTATTATGCTTATGCATATTTCATTGTAAGAAGAATTTACATAGGCATAATTACCTTAGCAGAGAGTGAAATGTAACATAAACATTATTTTATAATAGTGGTAGTAGAATGAAGTGATAATATAGAGTACCATAAAATTAAACTAGAATGGCTATTCCCTAAAAGTCACTTAGTAAATTTTATAGAATTTTGCTAAATTTGGTAAAAGTATTTTGGTAAATCAGAACTATGATGAACTTGTAATGTTCTGGACGATTAAGATCAAACCTTTTTAATTGCCCATTTTACTCCTACATAGAACTACACCCAAAAAGCCTTTTCCCTTACTATCTCAATAAATCCCGAATCAAGACTATAATAATTGAAATTGTTCAAATGATTTAAAACTTTAGAATTCTAACTAAGAAAAGAGGACAATAAATGATGATTTGGGATTGAAACAAGAGACCCTTTAGATGATGAAATAAATTTCCTAGTCATGGACTTGGATTCATTAATAATGCTTAATTTTGATCTTAGGTCTATAGTTTTTCTTTAACTTTTGCTTGTAAAACAATACCATTTTTTTTGTCTGTAATATCTTTGTGTTTGCTTTTAGATTTTGTAACTTTGCTTCCTAGATAGATTTAAATAAAAATTTAATTCGGAGACAAACCAGATTGTATGCCTCTTAGACACACATGTATTTAAACATGCAAACATAATAAACTAAGAATCAATGAAAGAACAAAAAGTTAAGTATAGCCGTTGTAAGGCTGTAGACAAGCATTATAGTTATCAACACTAAACATGTGGAAAAACCATTGGTACAATTAAGAAATGCAAAAACATTTAAAAAGAAGTCAATCAGAATAAAAGATAAATGGAATAACAAGGTGCCATAATCCTATTTAGATTATATAAAACTGTTTGTTATAGGCAACTGATGTCATATATCAGGGTATAATATTTATGTATTTATGTAAAAACATTTTGAGGAGATCCATATTAATTAAAAATTTCTTGTAAATAATTGAAATTATAATTGAATAATAAAAAAATATTGCAATAAAAAAGGCAATATTGATACTAAATACACAATTTAAATTTTTTTCCCCACACTTTAACTTATATTACACTTACCTATCATCTCTGCCTAAATTTCTTGATCCAATTCTATCCAACTCCAGAGCTAGTTCATCAATGAGTCCCTCCCATCCACAATTACTAAAGAAAAATAAATATTTACAATACATTAAATATTAATTGTTTTTCAGTATAAACACAAAAGGAAATCAAGATTTAAATAAATTTATTCCTTAGCAAATATCTTTTCTATTTCAAATCAATGGATATTTACATACAATATAAAATTTTGTGTAATATAAAGCATTAAAAAACGTGTTGTAATACTAATAGCGGGAGATAAATGAACAAAATAACATTTATTAGAATAAGACAGGTGAGGTGCATAAATTGAAAGTCGTCATGGAGAAATCTTCAGAGGAAGGCATTGGCTCACATTGGGCTGTCTGGCCAACTATGATGATGATGATGAGAATAAGACAGATATTAAAGACCAACACATATGGTGCTATTTAGAGTTTTTTTTTTTTTAACCGTCATTGAACAGTCGACCCAAAAAAAACTTTTACATAAAATGGGACAACAAAATTAATAAATAATAATAATAATATAGCATAAATAATAATAATAATATATCATAAATAATAATAATAATATTTTATTAATAATATTTTATAAATAATAATTATAAATAAACAATAATAATATTTAATAAATTCATACTTAAATTTTGCTCGATGTCTAGAATATCCCCCTAACTGTTCATCAGCTCCCATTCCAACAAGCAATACCTAAATAAAAATTTAATATGAGTTACTTCAAAAAACACTTTTTCCTCAAACAAAACAATTCTTAATGTTTACATCTAATGTTAAAATATAAAAAAAGGCTCTACGATCATATTTTATTTAAGAAATATTTTAAAATAAGCTTTCACAATTAAGTAGTAAAAAAAATTAAGCTTTCTTTACAATTTATAGATAGCGCAAGAGACTGGACAGACCTACATCAGCACGAACAACCTACGTCATACTATGAAGGCTCATCAGTGCAATTACACTACAAAAGAAAAGAATGGCTAGTTATGAACTTAGAACTGTATTGGATTTGACAGGGAGCAGATAGCAAAGATGTATAAATTGTATCTATACTTACGTCATTTTATAGAATCTTAATAATTTTAAATGAGTTACTTTAGCAGCTATTTAAAATGTTAATCAAGAAGTAGCAAACTATAAATGTTAATAAAACTGAAATGGAAAAAAATAGCTTGTGATAAAATTTGAAACTGTAAAAAACTTATTACCTCCCCTCAAATCATGCAAATGCCACAGCAACATATACAATGATTAAAACAGTATTAAAAATCACTATTCGATGTTTGTCAGCTACAAGGTATTTATGATAGAAAAAAGATTTAAATACTTAAATTCACAAAACTAATTATCAAATATTTATGAGTGAGTAATAGAACTGAGTTGTTAAAATTTATATAGTTTTAAAATAAAAGGTTTTTCAAATAATAAAAAAAAATCCAAATATAAAGAGGAAAAACAAAATAAACAGATATATGAAGAAGTATTACATAAAACAATTTCTAAGTATACCAATCACTGCGACATGCATCAAGCTAGATTACTTTTTCTTTTTTTTATCAGTGTGCAGTTTTGAAGTCTTTTCATAATATAAATTTAGATTTTCATATTCTTTCTGATTAAATTCTTCATTATTGATTACTTGAAAAACATCATTAAGTAAAATACATAAATAACATACATAAGTTGCCCAAGTAAAATATATAAAATCCAGATTTCATAAAATGCCCTAAGCACAATTTCAACTTATTAATATTTAAAGTCTCCAACGAATATGAACAACATATCAACTGTTCAGCTTCTTCTAAAACATCTTAAAATAGCTGCCCAATGTATACGAAATTCGGGATTAATAAAATTATTTGAACACCATTAAAAATTATACAACTTCGCTACCTATCAAAGCCAGCACAACTCAAGATTCATAACAGAAAATTGTTCTTACGTTCTACAGTGTACTTGCACATCAAAATTTTCAAGCATTATATAAGGACTAATACTGTGGCTCATGAGTTCTTGAACAATTGCAAAAATAAAATATTATGTTTTCTTCTGTATTTGTTTTATTCAAAAACAATAACTTAAAGCACAAAAAATGCTTTACCAAACAATCTGCAAATCACAGTTTTACAAAATGATTTCTTAAATTTAAATATTTTTTAGATAAAATAAGGGACATAAAATCCCTTCTTAAGTAACAAAATATTATGAAGTAAAAGTTATAAGTAAATTGTGAAAATTTTGAAGGTTAAACTTAGTATGATACTAAGAGAAAGGAGGAACACAGAGTTTTCCTTTATTTTAACAATGGAAGAGAATAGACCTTGGCTAAATTTAAAAATGATTGTTAATGTAAAAATAGGAAGGAATTTAAAGCATTTACATTATAAATAGCTAGAGTTAAATTTAAAAGATAATTTTTAAAAAAAATGTGGTTTTGTTACATTAAACTTTAACAATATTTCCCTTTAACAAAAATCAATGGGAATTTCCATCACCAATTAACAGAAAGGGTAAAAACCAAAGTGTGGAGAGATCTTTGACAGAATACCATTCCAGACGGGCCGCGCCGAGAAGCGGCGGCTCAGTTTTGACTATATACCGGACATGACTGCCTCGCCGCGCACCTATTTCGTTAAGGCTGGCACCTGATCCCTATTGTTCTCTGTGCAAGAGTCAAGCTGTTTTCGATAGCAGTCACATCCTGTGCTGCAGGGCCCTCCGCGGGTCGTCGTTTACCTAGCGATATTTGGAAGCAAGAACGCTTCTGAGGAAATGACTTTTTACTTTCTTGTTTTGTTCCTGTGTTCTTGATTTTTAACATGTAAATTCAACTCTGCCATTTAAAGTAAATAAATAAATGCAGTCGAACCCCGCTATAGTGAACACTCGGATGTAGTGAACTTTTTTAGCGGTCCCGTCCGTATTCCTATTTAAATAATGTTATTTTTAACGCTTATAGTGAACAGCTTAGAACTTGGAAACTCGGTTATAGTGGACTCAAATTTCATTTCTTTAAATATCTTTTTCAGTCCTCCATCTTTAAACTTGTAGGTGTTGGGACTGAAAATGAATGCATTCCTATAAAATGTGTCATATTACTCTCCTTTATGCTTATCACTTTTAACTATACTGTAATAAATGTCAAACAGATCATTTATCTTATACTCCCCCCTCCCTGACAAGCCTCGCTTTATCTCTTTTCCCCAAGCTTGCTCTACAACTAGTTAACTTGGCCACCTGCTGAATTTTTGGAATTTTCTTATCTGTTCAAACCATATTCTTTACAAATCACCCCTTGACAATCAAGAAGGGGAACAATTTAACTCATTCTACAGCTGCTCTCTTCATATTCTTACATTATCTATTTGAGACAAGATTTTTATTTCAAAAGCAGTGAAAATGGCAAATTCTCTAAAGAGAAAAGCGTTTTCGATAGAGGACAAAGTTAAAATTGTAAAGCGTATTGATGATGGAACCAATCAATCGACACTGTGTAAGGAATTTTCCTTGTCAAAATCTACAGTTTCAAACATTTGGAAAAATCGAAGTGCAATTCTTGCGGCATACGACAAAAACATGGTTTCATCGAAAAAACTGCGTGGAGCTGAAAGAGAAAACGTAGAAGATGCTTTGTTAAGATGGTTCGAAATCTTGTTCAAAATGTAAAAATCTTGCATTCTTTGCACATTGTAGATAAGAAAATTGATGAACTCAATTTAAAATCAAATTGTGTTCAATCAAAAATCACAAATTTTTTTCATAAAAAGTGAAAATAAAACTAATATTTAGCGACGTAATTACTTTTTCCATCAATTTTTGCTTTATTATCTGTTAATTAGTTAATAATTTTTTAAATAACTTATGCAAAATTGCAAAGCCAATTTTCAATCATTCAACTGTCTTATGCAAAAAATATTCTAAAAAAAATTTGGATATAGTGAACCATCGGTTCTAGTGGGCACATTACTGAGTCCGCAGACGGTTCACTATAGCGGGGTTCGACTGTATTTCCCTTTAATGCTACAATTTAATTTTTTTTCTATAATCAATTATTATAACAGAGACATTTCAAAATATAAAAAACACATAGTTTCAGACAGTGAAGAATAACTCATCAAACTGTAAACAAGAAACCATTTAAAAAAATAAATGACATTTTAATATATTATTCATTGTATTTTCAAGCATAAATACATTTCTTACTATATATATTATCAGAACAATATTTAATAAAAAGAACTCATAAAGAAAAGTCAATGAAAATATATTACTTCTAACACTTAATCATGACATAATATTTATTTAAGTGATTAAAACTACTAAGTAATTAACATTTCTTCCTTTGACCACACTACTTAGTGCATCAGCAGCTGCTTAGTTGAATTATGTATGACTTGTACTTTTTTGTATAAAACAATTTTAATTTTATGTAATTGACTTAAGTTGTTAAGTATTTTTATCTACTATGATTCCTCATCATTTGCGTAAAAAGGCACTCACACATTTCAACATCATATTAAATAATGGCTTCCAAAAATATTTCTTTAAAAGTCCACTTTGTTTATCATTTCTTGATTATAATTAAAAATAGAAAATATTTATGAAAAATATACATATAATATACAATAAAAATATATCTATTAAATACATATATTAATTATACATATTAATATAGAAAATATACATTGATAATACATATTAAAATATAAGATAAATAGTAAAAGTAGAAAATACAATGGTTTCAAAAAATATTTCTTTAAAAATCCACTTTGTTTATTATTCCTTGATTATAATTAAAAATAGAAAATATTTAACGTGTATAATAAAATATGTCAAAGAGAATAAAAATTTTACGTATAAGAGCTATGTAAAAAGTGGGCAAAAGGTAAAGGTTCTTTCAATTTATTAAAAAGGCAAGCCTCACCCTTGCTGGTGACTTATAATTTTCATAATAACCATCAGATAGAAGGAAACCCTCTCCATGGGCAGCAAACCAAATTGCACATCCAATGCTGTCATCTAAAACAGTACAATTCGGAATAAGTAGTTGACTTATTCTATTTTTTCTGAAAAACAAAAACAAAAACCATTAACGAATAAATATCAAAATTCTCAGATCACATGTAATCAAGCAATTTGACGCTCAAAAAAATTTACACAATAAGCAATCTTATTTTAAAATATTTAACAGAATGTTTATGTACTCTTCTTCTATTGGCATAACAAGCCTTTGTGGGTCAGAGCCTTCTCTAGAACCTTCCTCCATTTTGCTTTTTTATTGCTCTCCAGTTATTTATTCTTAGGATTTTAAAATCCTCTTCCACACAGTCAAGTCATCTGATCTTAGGCCTACCTCTAACTCTTGATTTGTAATTGAAGATCTTAAATGTCATGAAAGAAAGGTCCATTTGACAGATGTGACCCGTAAACTTTAAGCAACTTCTTTTGATGAATATGTATTCAGAATTCCTTTTATAAATAGATCAAAATATATTCTCTAAATATTTAACATTTATACTAAAAATACCAATTCTACTTAGATTTTAAATTAATGTTTCAATAGCAAAATATGCAACAACAAAAAAATTCTGTTTCAATTTTAAAATGAATATAGTTGTAATAGTTAATAGTACAAATTATTGTTAAAAGAATATAAATTAAGAAATAAGTTTTTAACAAACCAATTTATAAGAAACAAAAGCAATCAATGAAAGTTTACAGCTTATCTAATTAAACAAATTTTATTAAAATTTATTGACTATAAACAGGAACTTCAGAAGCTTGAAAAAACAATATTTTTTATACCTTCAAAATTCAGTATTAAGTACTCGGCCTGTTCAGAGTTTTAAATTAGAATAGTGATTTTCTGTAGTTGACATTTTTAATGTGAGATTAAGGGCTTTAAGTAATATTTAAAAAAAATCATCTATAACCTAAAATTTCAGTATCTGAGGAATGTATTTCTAAATTCTTAAAGTGAAACTCTTCCTTGGTCTTTATCTATAATTTAGTTAAAACTCTTCTTAACAAGACAAAAAGTCAAAACAATATTTTAAAAATGCATATCTCAAAACCTAAAAATTTTTAAACTGGCTGACAAAATGTTACAAATATCCAGTGGCCAATTGACGTGAAGTTTCATCAGACTGTTGACACAACTTCGTTAGTGTAAGCGCCAATAAAGTTTAAAAACTCATTAAAACTTTTAAAAATTAGTTACATTTTTACAGCTAAAAACCATTTTTTACTCATACTTTCACTAATTTACTCTTCTTTTGTGATTTCTGATTTAAGCTACAATTACTACAGTTGCTTAAAACAAGAATTTATTTAAATTCTGTTTTAAGAGCTTTCAACTGAAGTTATTATGCCTAACATAAGGTCGAGTCTTCTTGCTGTACTAACAATGAAGATTTCAAAATAAATACTAAACAAGAAAAGTTTTACTTGACACTTGTGTAGTAAAAAAGAAATTTCCTATAAAATGCTAATTTTTCATCAATTAATCTAGAAAGCATAATAATCTATTTGCGATTAAGGCAACGCACCAAAATACAAATGTAACTCGGATGATTGCTTGAGCCCCAAAAAAATAATGTGTATCATGTCAATAACTTTTAAAGAAAAATTTCGCAATATTATATTCTAAGCTTGAAAATTTAAATGATATAAGTTATACATTACAGTGCCAAAATAAAATAAGAAATTTGACATCATTATAGTTTAATTTAAAATTAACTGCCTTTAATAAAATAATAATACATCATACTTATTTTATCACTAATAATTTTCTTTAAATTTTAATATGTTATCTTAGGAAGAGCAATAACATTTAAAACTATTTTAACAACTTAATCAATCATTTTTGCAGAATAACTAATATGTTACACAATTTTATTTAAATTACAAAAACTATTTTCAAATTTAATATAAAAAAGTACCTTTGAGTTACTAGCATCTCTTCAGAAATATTCACCTAAAATAATAAAATGAGAAATAAATAATTTTGTCAGTGAAATAAAGCTATCATACATTAAATTAGATAAAATACAATAATATTTTTTTTTTCATTTTATAACTGACATTGAACAGCTGACCCAAATTTTAAATTTACAACAACCAAAGTTCAACTCCAGAACCTTGATATTTTGAACTAGATCCAGAAGACAAGGAAACTCCTGGATCAAATTTTGGGCGTAATTTTATCTTCGTAAAGGAGTTTTTATTAAATGTAAAGGAAGAACACAAAAACCTCCCACAGTTAACCAGGCAGCAAAGGGACTCTAATGATGTGTCTACCACTGAAGATATTTTACATAAACACTGTGGTCGGTGAGAGCTGGGTGCAATTCCTATCGACTAGCCATCACTGGGATTCACATCCGGGTCACCTCATTCTGAAGGGAGAATTGTATCTCCCGAACTTACACAGGTACAATACAATAATTATTATTTCATCTTATTCATAAATAAATCACAGTTATCATTAAACAAGAACATTAAGTGAATCTTTATTTCAGCACAGTTAATTTGCATATTCTTCTATTTAATTTAACAAATAAAGTTCTTATAATGGTTAAGGTTTTCAAGGTGAGAAGTTTTTGCGTTGTTTAGCATGAATCATTGAAAATTAAAAGAATAATTTTTTATTCTAAAATTTAAGAATCTCTAAATAATATATATTTAAAAGCTATATAATTAATCATTAATAATGCAACAAAAAAAGAATTACATTTATCAAAACAACCAAATTTATGATCAGGTAAATAAGTATAAAACATCAAAAGTCTGCTTCCATAATTTTTTATAATTATACTAAAAGTGTTTATCATATAAAAGTAATAATACATACTTCAATGAAGTTCCATTGACGTGTTGGACAAATTGCTTTTAAAGCTCTAACACCACTCCTTCCTGTTAATCTATCAGGAGTATCAAAAGCTAATGTGCTTTTTTGGTGTGATGGGTCTTTTAATTTTTCATTGCTAGCAAATGCAACATTTAATAAATCAATAGATTGATTCTTAGGCAAATATCTGAAATAAAATATTAATAATACAATAAAAAAATTTCATTTTAATTTATATTCAAAATTAAACTAAGCCCATTTCTTAATTTAAAGCATAAATTATCTCATAATTGTATTTTATAAATTAAGATTAGATTCTGATTACATAATTTATTGTACAAAAACAATTTATGCTCAAACAATTATGCTTGCTAATATTTCATTTTTATTTTGTATAGTTCCTATGAAAAACATCATGACCAAATGCAACTGATAATAATAAAGCTTGCATAAAAAAAATAATGAAACTTTCATGACAGTAATAAAATAACTCAGAGCAGTTCATAGATTACATTAAATGTAAGATTATTAAAGAATTTTTGGATACATAAAAATTTTGAAAGAACATAATTTTTGGAGTATATATTAATTTCCAACAAAAAAGCAAAAATATTCAAATTTCCAAAAATATTCAATGAAAAAAAAACTTGCAGTAAGCTATATTATTTGCAATAATAGAAATTAACTTAATTAAAATTATTACAAATCTTAATCTGTAAACATTTATATGCATTTATGTACAGGATGATTCTAAAAAGATGGGCAAAATTTTAAGAAGTGATAGTACACACCCAAGCAAACAATTTTTATCAAAGAATGCATGGTCGAAAACAAAACGCAAAACCGCTAGAGTGCGTCAAAGTTTATGTTCATGTATGAGGCAAAAACACACAAAGAACGATGAAGTTAAGTTATGAAAGCAATTTGATGGCATGTGATTACAATAAGTGTTCAAAACAGTGTCCGACAGCGGCTATGCATACAGTACAATGGCGAAGAAAAGATAGACGAGCATTCTGAAACACACCAGGCATATCACGAACTTTCCCTGCAGCTGCCAAAAGCTTGGTGACAAGTAACGCAGCGCAGTAACTCGCAACAGGAATGGAGCTTTCATGTTTGCATCAAACAACTTTCCAAATGCACCAGCACCTTTGCGTTTTGTTTTCGACCATGCATTCTTTGATAAAAATTGTTTGTTTGGGTGTGTACTATCACTTCCTAAAATTTTGCCCATCTTTTTAGAATCACCCTGCATATGCATTTTTTACATGCAATATATTATGTAACTATGAAAGAAATTTTTTTTTACCTATGTGCTAATGCAGCAATAACAATTGAATCTAAACCACCAGAATACAAAATTCCAACAGAAGAATGATTACAGCTAGAAAAGTTCCTTACATAACAATCTTTACACAAATAAGGCTGATTCTGTACTCTTCTCCTCACAGATTCAGAAAGTACATGCTCAAAACAATCAACATTATTTTGGTAAACAGAATCTTCTAAAAGCAAATTAAAAGTTTCTATTTCTCCTCCATTTGAAATTTTTGAATGATCCTCATTAGTTCTAATTGGTGGTAAAGACCTGTTTAATGATTTATCTATGGGGTTTTCAATAAAATTATTTTCTTTAGTTCGTAAGATCAAATTTTCAACATTACTGAAGTCAATTTTGTTGTGGCATGTAGATAACCCTGATGCACTTGTAGACCAAGGAAAACAGTAAACTACCAATGAACTTTTTGTACTCTTTTCATTGAGATTTAAGCAAAACAGTCCTGTAGTCGGAACTTCTTTCCACTGAAAGTAAACAAGAGATCAATAACAGTTATGTAAACGAAACAATAAAAATAATGTTCAAATATAAAATGAAAAGAACCAAAACTGTGGGGAAATATACATAAACAGAATATAGTTAAAAAGTGCAGAAAATTATAATATATGAACAATTCGACATTATTATGTCAATAATAAGCAAATAATATAAGCTAAAGAATAATTTTAAAGGAAAAGTAAAATTCCATTCTGTATTAAATTGCAGTTTATGCACACAAAAAAAATGAATGAGAATATTAATGACACTAAAGCAAGAAGCAACTACACTGCACCAAACTCATATTATGCATTTCAGGTAACAACAGTCTTATAAACTTAGTTTGATGTTAAAAGAAAAAGAGGTGATGTAACACAATAAAAGAGGTAACGATTACTGGGATGTACTGCAACTCAGAGTGACAGGTTTCTTATTTATCTAAAGAACGTAGCCCCCTTGAGAAGTTGTCGACTAAATTGTGATCAATATCTTAATTAAATCATGAAAATATTCTTTATAAAAATTTTTAACAAATTATTAAACTAAAGTCTAATAATGCTTAAAAAATAAACACCATATTCTGCCACAGCATAATAATGAAAAAGTAACATATATTACAACAATATTAAAAACAAAAATATGAATGTAATGAAATAAATTAATGCAATAAATTAAATAAAAATAGAGTTTTTCATTAACTTATAAATTTGAAATTTAAAATCATGTTGTATTTTGCTAAACTTATATTATTAACATATTACAAAATATATCCAATTTTGCTAGATTAACATATGTTGTGTTGTTGTCATTATGTATCAGGGTAACATTTGATGACAGCTTATTAAGTAATTCATTTGTTTTAGATTATTGAGAAAATTCTACTGCTGTTTTGAATGTATTTTTAATTTTTAGAAATACTTCTCATGATAAGATGGTGGGCAAATATTTCTAAAAAAAACTATTAAATAACAAACAAAATAGCAGCAATTAAGAAATAAAACATGGAAAACATACACTAAGGATTCTTTTTGAACAAGTGGGTCCAATTGGAAAAGGTGATTAACAAGTGATTTTAAAATAAAATTTTTCTGCAAATCTTGTAGAAGCTGAAAAATATGCATACAGAAAGAAGACATTTTTTATGCACAATGCTTTCAATACTAAAATTCTTTCCAATTTATTTTCAATAATCAGGGTATATTTCCCAGATTAAAAGTAAAATTCATGAAAATAAGTAAAAAGCCATACTGATACAACAATTATTAAGGTAACAAATTCAAAGAAATATATTATTACAAACATAATAAATAACAAAAAGAAAAATAAGTAAAAATACACAAGCTGTTTTCGAAGCTAAGTACTTTTCAAAAATAAAAAATATTTTTCATGACCTACTTTTTCTTTACCAAGAGCCATTGAGCAAAGCTTGAAAGCATCTTCGCTGATGTTCCACAACAAACTGCGTCTGCCAAATATATCTCTTCCAAACCATAAGTGGTTGAGGCATTTCTACAAAAAAGTAATATAATATTAAATTTTAAAAAATTTACTTTATAATAAGAAATAAAACAAATCATGATATATTTCAATTACCTGGTAATATATAAATGAATATGGACCATGAATCAATCCAAGAACATCCACAACTTCTTGCATATTTATGCAACCAGACAATTTTTCACTCAAAACCTTAGTGTCTGAAGCTGAGCTTTGACACTATAAAAATAAATAAAAAAACAAAATGGAAATTTAACTTAAGTGATATGCTATACAATTTTTCACTAAACCTTAATGTTTGAAGTATAGCTTTGACACAATAAAAAAACATGATCAGGATTTGGCTTTTTAATTGATAATCTAATAGACTTAAAAACAAGGTTCGTGATTCTTTTGATTTTTTTTTAAAAAAATCAAAAGAATCAGATTTTTTTGATTTAAATCGGATTTTTTTTATTTAAATCAGATTTTTTTGATTTTTATTCATATACACTGTAAGAACTTTAATGTATGATTAAAAAAATTATAAATGTTTAATCAAATTAACTTAATATTAACACTATATTGTAACAATATTTTAGAAGCTCTAACTAAAATAATTTTTCATTATAATACATGAATGCATAGCAACCATTTTGAAACAAATGCATGATTAAAATTTAAAGACTAGATGAAATAGAGAATTTAAAGAATACTTCAGGGGTCTGTCTGGGTTTTTCTGAGAGGTACCTATTTTGTGAAAATTAAAAATAATATTAAAAAATCAACACAAATATAGTAAAAATATGGATTTATTGTTTTTTACGAGGCACAAAAATAAAATTTTACGAAAAAGTATTTTGTGCGATTATTCTATCATTTTTCCTAAAGTTGAATTTGTAAAGGTACCGTTAAACGGTAGTAAATTTGGCTTGGGCAGACCCCTGTACTTTAACTATTAAAACAAAGTTTCAGTTAGCAAACCATAACTTTAATTTAAAATTGTGATTTCTTTTTTTTTCTCTTGATTTTTAAAATGACAAAGTAAATGTAGCAGACTGTGTTTATAAATGTAGTCATTCATCAAAAAATAAATAAATATTTAATCTATATATTTTTATATTAAAATATTCATTTTTAATTCTATATCAAAATAGATAAGTTAAGCTAAAAAAAAATTA